ATAAATAAATAAAAAGTAAAAAGTCCAAAAACAAAAAAAGAAAATCAAAAACATAGCGGCGGATTAGGGCTCAACCATGCATTATCCTCATCATCAAATCAGCTGTTTCACTGATTTACTTGTTAAACCACTGCATTTAACTTTAACACGTGTATCGTTAGTAGGAACTGCTATGATTAAAAAAAAAAGTAATAAGTCAATTGGAGAGCTTTACCTACACGTTGGCATTAATTTTTTTGTGACCGAAGACACAGTTAAGCACTTGAAGTACTTGAGTAAATTGTACTTGAATAAATTGTCTAAGAACTTCAATGTAACTTGTCATTTGTCCTAGATGAGAATATTATTCAATCTATACCTACATAAAAGATATGCAGGAATAGCTGTCTAAGGCACCTTAACTCTAAGGACCTTTTAATCATTAGCGGTCATGTAGGACCAAATTAGCCGAGAGCCTAACACCGTACTAGTTAAGCATGCAATTGCGACTTTGTTTATATGACACTGCATTATATGGGATCAAGTGCCTTAACGCCAAGGTCGATAGGGCAAATGATGTGATAAAGCACATATTTGAAAAGCACATGGCTTCCTTACTCTGTATCTCTAAATGCGAATTGATTTTTCTTAATCATATGTATAGTAATTCTTTTTCGGGCAAATTATGACTAATTTATTATTACCGCAAATCAGTACTTACGGAAGTTGCGTTTTAACTTTGACTTTCTTTCCTTTTTTGTACTTTGCAGGCCCGTAGGGAAGCTCATAGTCAGATACGCTGGAGTAGTACAATAATGGAATGACACAATAAGTTATTTTTCATTGTGCCCCAACGCTGTCCAGCTTTTTTTGGTCTTTGCACACAATTTTTTACTTATATACTATATACCTTGCAGTCTCGTACCATCCTGGCCATCGGATGACCCGCAAAATGACGCAAAATTTATTACGAAAAATGGCTATTTATTAGTACGTTTAACCAGCTTAACAATAAAGCGCGGAACCATCCTTCTGTCATACAATATTTCAGTTCGCGCTTGATTAAATTTTCTAGCTTTGCTTAGCGGCGGCGTACCTCCCGCTAGAATTCATGATCAGCTGATAGGAGAAAGGCCATAAATAAACAAGGCTTTCTCTTGATACACTAGTAAAAAAGCTGACTGATCTAGAGCGAATCTATGATTTATCTCGTTGTCATCGATTATACTATTGATATAAGTTGTTCACGGTATAGCACCTGCACTTCTAATATATAATGGCTTAAGGATCGGCTGAAAAATTCGAAGCATTTAAACTGCAGCACCATAAGATGCTAGTACGCCTTTCCCAATGGGGCTTAATATTGATGAATACTTCGTAATGACAAGTGCCCAGATTACAAAAGTAAGGAGGCCTACGGCTGCAATAGCACGACAAGTCTAAACAACGCTTGAAACCAAC